GGAGTCTTCGCTGATGACGCAGGCATCGCCAGCTCCGACGTCTTCGCCACTTTAGTGCTCGCGTTGCCTGCGTGGGGCCTCGCAGGCCGTGCTGCTGGACTCCATGTGAATGTAGCCAAGACCGTCATTGTTGTGATTCATCCCATGTCCTACTCCGAATTCTGTCAACGTCTCCAGCAGCGCGGTATCTCGCAGGAAGGTTTCATTTTCAAGCGTGCCGCCAAGTATCTGGGCGTCGTGGTCGGGCCTGGTGGCGCACAAGAGAGCTGGATTGCCCCTGCCACGAAATGTATCGAACGTACAAGGAGCATTCAGGGGCTTGGGCTTGGCTTACTGAAGTCGGCCGCCCGGTGCAACATGCATGCCCTCTCCGTCTTGTCTCATGTCTCCCAGTTCTACTTCCCCTCCGACTTTGCCAAGTCCATCGAGAACCAGTCCCTCCAACTTCTCTCCAATGGTCCGAGAAACGCCATCCCGTCTGACCTCATTAGGAAACTCGACTCCCTCGGCTTCAAACTCGGGGCTCGCGAATTCGAATGTGTTGCTCGTGCTGTCATGTTTCGGGCTGCGACAACATCCAGCGCCTTCCACCAGGCCGCGAAGCGCATGTCTGAATTCGCCCTCTCAGACGAGTGCCAGATTACGCGCGCATGGAATGAATGGTGGAAGAACAGCATCGCGATTTCGACGTGGCAGAACTATGACTTCATGAATCAGATTCCCAGGGGCCCTGTCTGTGGAGATCGGAGGTTTCAACATAAAGCTGAGAGGGCTCTTCTGAGGCGTAGGAAATATTATCCACACCAGTTTTTGTTTGACAGACAACCCAGAAACGTCCAGGGCCGATGTCGACCAGGTGTTTCGTTTCATGCTCCGTGTAGCCGATGTTGCCCCCTCCTTCCTTGTCTCATCTTGCCTTAAAACAGTCAGTAACGCCTGGTGCACCTCGGGTCGGTTTAGAGGGCCGGCTCGCGACTGCCCCTTCTGTCAAGCATCGTGTCAGGACACTCTCATGCATGTCATGTGTTGTGACGTCCTCGCACGAAATGTGCGTTCTCGTCTGCCCTTCCTTCCCCATGGGGTCGAAGTTGCGAGGAACGTTGTTTGCGTGTTTCCCTGTGGTCCTTTCTCCTCGTCGCAGGTGCTTTCTCTTGCTCTTTACACTGACACCATGCACAGTGTTTACCATAGTATGAAGGGAGCAGGACAGGGGATTGCAGCATTCCAACGCGCTGCTGCCGCTCGCCTTCGGCAAACGGCCAGGCGCGCCCCCACCCTCGCCCCTCTGCTTCGATCCAGGTCAGACGATGGACTGTCGTAGGCTCTCTCCCCCCTTCGCCTCGTGCCCGCTTGCCCTCTTCTCTTGTTCCTTGCTCGCGTCTTGTCCGCTTGCCTCCCTTCCTATGGCCGTGCCCTCTTCCTCCTCTTCCCCCCGAGGCTTTCTCCCTCGGGAGCCTTGAGGCGCGGGTCCAGGCGAACGGGGGTCAGCCAGAGCGCCGGATCTTGCAGGGGCCTGCAGGCCAGGGGTGCATTGTCCCAGGCTCGGGTGCAGGATCCTTCAGGAGCCTTCGCATCGACCCGGGCTTGGGTGCCGGATCTTGCAGGACCCTGCAGGGTCGCGCACGGCCTGATCGGCCCGGGTGCGCATCGACCCGGGGGCAGAAGGTCCCCGAGCCCCGCAGCCCACGGCGGCGTGCGCCGCAGCCTCGGAAGTGGATGGGGAGACCGACCATTCAAAACCTACGCGAACTCATTGCAGGAATCGTCGGACTTGGATGTGCGCATCGCGAAGGCCTTACGGCCAGTGCCGCCGACCCTGAGAACGACGAAGATGAAGCCGAGGGGGGGGCAGGGGGAGGAGGACGAGTGGGGGGTGGAGGAAGGGTGGGGGAGGTGGACGAGGGAGGAGGAGGGGGTAGAGCAGGGTGTGGAGGAATCGTCGGACTTGGGAGCGCGTATTTGCTTGCGTGTCCGCGGGCCCCTTTTCGTGCCAGCCCCCCTCCCCGCGGGCGGGCGCCCCCGTCGCGCCGCATTCCTCCGCGGCGCGCGTCTGGTACCGCGCAGCCCTTGCACACCGTTCCGCGCGGAACGGTCGCTGGCGTTGCGACGGAGCAAACTTTTGCGTTTTCCTCTCAATCGGAATCCCCGTCCTCCTCCTCCTCCTCCTCCTCCTCTCCCTCCTCCTCCCCCGCCTCCTCCTCCTCCTCCTCCTCCTCCTCCTCTTCCTCGTTCTCCTTCTCCTGCTCCTCCTCCTGCTCCTCATCATCATCATCCTCTTCCTTCTCGTATTGCTCCTCCTCATCATCCTCCCCCCACCCCCCTCTCTTCTTCCTCCTCCTCTTCCTCTTTCGCTGCTCGATGCTTCAACATGTATCCATAATCTCACCCTGTGTTGACATCGGCACTTCCCAGTCAAGCGTTCCAACGACGCCGTTCCTTTCTCGATGGTGAAGTTGGGTGCTGGCCAAGAGCGCGATCGGGAACGAGGGGGTGCGCCAAGTTCACGACCTACCTATGCCAATGTCCGGCGTCGGCTATCTCGCCGTGGAGTAATCCATACGAAGTACAAGACATGCGTTCCCGGCTGAGCGCAATCGAGTTGTTATTAACGACGCGTCAGCTGTCCCATATTTGGTGTTTTGGATATTGGTATTCCCGTTCAGTATCTCGGTGTTGTTGTTGCTGTATTTGATTATGTTGTTGATGTTGTTGTTGTGGTTGGTGTTGTCGTTATGTTGTTTGTGTTGGTGGTGTTGTTGTGGTTGTTGTTGTTGGTGTTGGTAGTGTTGTTTTTGCTGTTGTTAGTGTTGGTGTTGGTGGTGTTGTTGTTGTTGGTGTTGGTGTTGTTGTTGTTGTTGTTGTTGTTGTTGGTGTTGTTGTTCGTGTTGTTGTTAGTGTTGTTGTTGGTGGTGGTGGTGGTGGTGGTGTTGTTGTTGATGATGTTGTTGTTGGTGTTGTTGTTGTTGTTGTCGTTGTTGTTGTTGCTGCTGCTGTTGTTGTTGCTGCTGTTGTTGCTGTTGTGGTTGCTGTTGTTGTTGTTGCTGTTGTTGTTGTTGAACATTAATTATTCTAAAGAATAATTATTGTTGGGCCCCCTGGTGCGCGCCCCCCCTGCGCCGCCTAGGCCGCAGCTACATTTTCATCATTTTCGTGAGGAAGCCTCAGAAAAGAGGGTGTGTACAGGATCCGGTTGTTTTGTTGTAATCCGCTTTCCCTTGCAAAAAACAATAGAAAATGACATTTCTTGTTCTAATATAATCAAATTTCAAGAATCCCTTGCAAAAAATAAGGTAAAGTGGACATTCGCGCGCGCAAGACGAAATCCTTCCAAAACCTTAGTGTTCGCAGCGATTTTAACATAAAAACATCAAAAAACCAATGGTTTTTCAACAAAAAAATGTCAAAATCTCATCCCGCGCGCTCTTGCGGATTCGTAGGAAACCCAACACTTTTTAAACATTTCTGTCAAACGGGCTTTTGCGAGCAACTTTTTCGAACTTCTGCGACAACGGTTGCGCACCTGCCAGGGCCATCATCCCTGTCAAATAATACCATGCGGGACACATTCGTTTTTTCTTCGCGCGCGCACGCCGTCGTCGTCGGCCGCGGGGCCCTGAATAGTAGCCACGGTCGTCCGCATGCCACGAAGTGAAGTGTCCGAACGTCATAGGGCGGGAAGCTGGGTGTGGGTGGTGGCGAAGAGTCGTTTGGAAATTTGGTAGAGCTTGAACCGGCCCCCCCACAAAGTGGGGGTATTGCCCGCCTCCTATGAAAACCCTGGCACTGGTGAGAACGGAGTGTCCCCACGTGCTAGTAATTGTTGTTGTTGTTGTTGTTGTTGTTGTTGTTGTTGTTGTTGAACATTATTAATTCTAAAGAATAATTATTGTTGGGCCCCCTGGTGCGCGCCCCCCCCGCCGCGCCTAGGCCGCAGCCACGTTTTCATCATTTTCGTGAGGAAGCCTCAGGTAATTCGAGGTGATCAAGATCCGGTTGTTTTGTTGTAATCCGCTTCCCCTTGCAAAAAACACTATAAAATGACATTTCTTGTTCTAATATAATCAAATTTCAAGAATCCCTTGCAAAAAATAAGGTAAAGTGGACATTCGCGCGCGCAAGACGAAATCCTTCCAAAAGCTTAGTGTTCGGAGCGATTTTAACATAAAAACATCAAAAAACCAATGGTTTTTCAACAAAAAACTGTCAAAATCTCATCCCGCGCGCTCTTGCGGATTCGTAGGAAACCCAACACTTTTTAAACATTTCTGTCAAACGGGCTTTTGCGAGCAACTTTTTCGAACTTCTGCGACAACGGTTGCGCACCTGCCAGGGCCATCATCCCTGTCAAATAATACCATGCGGGACACATTCGTTTTTTCTTCGCGCGCGCACGCCGAAATCTCCAAAAACCATTGGGTTCTGTGGGTGTGTACCCCACGCCAGTGTAGTAGCCACGGTCGTCCGCACGCCACGAAGTGAAGTGTCCCAACGTCATAGGGCGGGAAGCTGGGTTTGGGTGGTCGCGAAGAGTCGTTTGGATATTTGGTAGAGCTTGTAATGCCCCCCCACGAAGTGGGGGTATTGCCTGGTGTCGTATGAAAACCCTGGCACTGGGGAGAACACCACGCGTTCGGGTAAAATGATTGTTGTTGTTGTTGTTGTTGTTGTTGTTGTTGTTGTTGTTGTTGTTGTTGTTGTTCGCGCTGCTGCTAATGTTCCTGCTCGTCTTTCTCTGGCTCCTTATCTTGGTCCCCATACCCCCCCCCCCCCCCCCCCTTGCCGGCAGGAGGAGGCGGGCGGGCGGCGGTGGCGGCGCAGGAAGAGGATGAGGAGGAGGATTAGGAGGAGGAGGAGGAGGAAGAGGAGGCTGAGGAAGAGCATGATGATGATGAGGAGGAGGAGGAGGATGAGGAACAGGAGCAAGATCAGGAGGAGGAGGAGGAGGAGGAGACCCTTCTCATCTTCTTGCCTCCCTCTTTTCATCAGACCTGGTTGGGTAG